TGCCAATGTTCTGCAGGTATCCTGTGTACCCTGGTCAGCCCCAGAATCAATGCCACTGCTAAGACGCTAATGGGATGTAGAGAATAACATACCTTCACCATCGAGGCTGGTCACTGCTTCCAGCCCATCCATGGTGTCGTTAATCCCCGGTTTGCTATCACGAGCCCTAGGATTATCTGGAGAGCTGCGGCCGACCATGGACTTGGCTAGGAGAGTGGATTGAATCGCCCCATCGCTGTATATTATATCTCCTCCCAACCTCGCCCTTTGGTCCAAATGCTTCTGATTGTATCCTTGTTGTTCACTACCTTCTAAAACGTGTTCCTTCTACCAGGGACCTTCCTCTCGTTGTCTATTCAATCGTTTTCCTTTTACTCGCCTCTCATATTTTCTTTCTTGTTGCCACAATGGCACTTCCACGGTTAATCGCCGTGCTCTCCTTCCTGTCATTCGCTTTACTCAGTACCGCCCTCCCTTCGCGATCGCGGTCACTCCATGAACGGGACGACACCGTCCACTTCGAGGTCACCCTCACATGGGAGGACTACTCACCCATTGGGGGCACGCCCAAGAAGATGATACTCACAAATGGCACCTTCCCCGGTCCCCCGTTGAAGATGACGGTCGGCCAGACAGTCGAGTTCCTGGTTCACAATGAACTGCCCGACCCTACTACAATCCACTTTCACGGCATTGTGCAGCAAGGCACTCCCTGGTCAGATGGTGTCCCAGGTCTTTCACAATACGCCATTGCGCCCGGCTCGTCGTACCTGTACAAGTGGACCGCCGATGCAGCTGGAGTATACTTCTATCACGCACATTATCGCTCGCAGATGATGGATGGGCTGTACGGCGCCATCATCATTTCTCCAGAGTCTGACGATGAAAAGCCATTCTCTCTGATCAACAGCGATCCGGAATTCATCAAGCTCATGTCGGCTGCGGACGACGAGCTCCAGCCCATCTTTATCTCGGACTACAACAAGTATACCTCTCAGGAACTGCATGAGCAGGAACGGAATGCCAACATTGATTTTGCTTGCTCGGACGCCATCATCATCAATGGGCAGGGGTCGCAGTACTGCTTGACGCGTGAGGAGTTGACTGCCTACACCAATCCCAAGGTTACGGCTCTCCTGGCTTCGGTCAGCCCTTCGCAACTCACCGACAAAGGTTGCTTGCCTCCCAACCTCCCTGCCACTCAGGGTAACTTCACCTTCAACATTGAGACTCTTCCTGCTGATGCCTACTCGACCTGCACTCCCTCGACCGGACCCATGGCTTCAATTGATGTGGACGCTGCCAAAGGCTTTGCTGCCTTGACCTTTATCAACCCGGGTGGATACGAGTTGCTCAAGTTCACCATTGACGGACACAAGATGTGGGTGTACGCTGTGGACGGCGGCTACGTGACTCCCACTCTGGTGGATCAAGTCGTGGTCAACAACGGAGACCGATACTCGGTTCTGATCGAGCTCAACCAACCCCCTGCGCAGTACTCGATCCGTGTCGCCAACAACGGTCTGAACCAAGTCCTCAGTGGTTTCGCTGTCCTCAACTACAAGGGCTCAGTTGGCCCCGCCACTGAAGACCCCAATGCTCTTGCCACGATGAACTTCGCCGGCGCCAATTTGACCACGCTAGTGACGTTCAATGACAACAAGGCGGCGCCTTATCCACCTTCGCCTCCAGCTCCGTCAGCGGACGTGACCTACTTGATGAATATCAAGAAGATTGGGCAACCAGCCGGCGCATATGAATGGACTCTTAGCGGTGTCAACTCGTTTGCTCCCGAGTTGGAAGACCAGACTCCCCTTCTGTTCGAAGATCCGGCCGATGTCGAAGCCAACGATCTCATTATCAAGACACAGAGTGGCCAATGGGTCGACTTGGTGATCAGGACCCAGGGACCCCTTGCTCAGCCTCATCCCATGCATAAACACTCGAACAAGGCGTACGTTATCGGCAAGGGTGTCGGAAACTGGACATGGAACACTGTGGCTGAGGCCGCCGCTGTGCTGCCAGCTGGCACGTTCAACTTTGAAAACCCGCCTCTTCGCGATGGGGTAAGTTTCGTTGGACCTTTTGACTTTGCTGAGAAATAACTGACATGTGTGCTTTAGTATACTACTACCCCCAACGAAGTCAACAGCACGTGGATGGTCCTGCGTTATCAAGTCACCAACCCTGGCGCATTCCTTTTCCACTGCCACGTTCAAACACACATGGCTGGCGGCATGGCCGTGGCTTTTCTCGATGGCGTCGATGACTGGCCAGAGGTGCCGACCGAGTACGCTGACGGCAACGGCATTGTGTACACCAAGCTCAAGAAGAAGGGCAAGCTGCACCCCAAGTCGTCATAAAATCTTGTGCGCTCTATGATCATGTTGTACGCATCATAATATTTTAATCATGGCATTTTTCTGGAAAATGGAGATGAGCGTGTGTGTTTTTGTTTTTTTGAAATACCAAACCAAATAAAGAATATATATATATTATATATGCCCCGAACCGTGCTTTATCCCTTTCCATTTTCGTTGAGGAAGGGAGCGAGGCCGCTTTAATCGGTCACGTGATGGAGCATCGAGGAGGCCTGGCCGAGCATGGGGGAGCTACCCATAAAAATCTGTGGCCAGCCCCGGCATGACTACAGAGGTTCCGAAAACTACTTGTTCGGGCCTCTCTTTGGCGCCTAGAGGCCCTTTTTTTTTTTACTCACACCTACTGGCGCCCCAACGTCTTACGAACCGACCTTTTGGCCTGGCTATGGTCTAACTGGAAGGGAAGGAGTGCCGGGGCCGGAGGCGCGTCAATCCCCGGCAAGGGACTTCCGGGAAATGCGTGGTCAAAGTAACGATCACGTGACTGATCTGTTTGATCCTATACAAACCGGGTGATCTGTACAGAAGACCGAGCGGCAGGGCACAGAGAGCACATTCATTACTACATTAGGAAGGATGACACAAGGATATAGACGCCGCGTGCGCCTTTCAGTCTCCAGTCGTGTCCAAGTCTCCTGTCATCTTTGATATGACGATGCCGGTCGAGTCTAATGGCATCTACCGCTCGGGGGAGTGTCTATACAGAGGAGTCTCGTGAACGAGCTCCCCAACCATTCGATTATGCGTTTTCGCGTTTTCTTGTCATTGCGTCATCACGTCATCGCAAACTCGAACAAGAATATGCGTGATGAACAGTAGTCATCCGCTGGATTTTGATATTGGCGTGGCTCAAAGCGAGAAGTTACGGCGTTATACCCGAGAGCCCACGGATCTTTTCGAGACTTGAGGGAGGCATCCAGGAGATGAGGTCGTTCCGAAGTTTCCAAGATTAACTTCGATGGCTAAGACTTCATATACATCTATCGTCATCCCCGTCTCTTCACAACTCGACTGAAGTCTTCGTGTTCCAGTCCAATCTCACGCATTCAAGTTGACGCTGCAGCACTGCGATTTTTTTTTTTCTTGTTTGTTTGTTTTTTCTTCTCTCTTTCTTTCATAAGCTCATGCGGAAGCTCATGGCGCTGTATGTGATAATAGAAGTTTCGGTGGTGAGAGAATATAAGGTGTAACTTCATAAAGAAGGCGGCATCGCCCTCGAGCCTATCCCATGTGCAGTTGTAGAAGCGCTTGGCACACGTGATAACCTTGGCTCAAAGCACAGAAAGTGCTTGTTGCTTGTGATTGCGATCGTGGCCGTCAGTACTAGGCTCGATTGGCTTGGCTTGGATTGGATGCCTGATCCGGCTGCTGGTCCCTGAGCTGGGCTGGCCCGGTTCCTGGTTCCTTGGTACAGGTAATGATAATAATACAAGGGAGTAGAGAAATTACATGTCTGTCCACCTACGTGTCTACTACTACTTTGTCTGTCTGTCGACATGTCTTCCCGCACTGGCTCGGTCCCTCCGCTACATAATAATTATAGCCCTTGTCTTCGGTACGCTTGTAGATATATTTGGTACTGGGTACAATTTATTTGTCGATACGCGCGCCTCGTCTACCAACCACCAACCTCCCCCCTTTCCGTCCCAGCCCCTTAAGCCGAATGAATCCCTGTAGATGTTCTCCCTCGTGTTTGTTTCAAACTTACGAGGTATAAGTTTTTGCATTTGCTAGGTGACCCCCTCTTTCAGACCGTCAACGTCAACCTAAATTACCCAAACTGCCAAAACGGCTCGGCATACGAGGTACCCAGTACATGACCCTAAATCCAGCCCCTTTCCTCTTAATTACACTCTACCTTACCACCCCCTTACATTGTTAGTGTGATATCGCTCTCCCTTCAACCTCCCCCGCCTCCTTCTTACTGCCAAACGCGTGGCATCATGGACACCTGGATCCACGGCTTTTCTGATATCATTCTGCTAATTGTCAGATTCGAGGGTTTCACAAACGCAATCAAGGCGGAACAAGACACGTCGCAAACAAATTGAATGATGCCTGGTGATGCTGTCTTCCACCTTGCTCATCACTATCTCCTGAATCAAACTAGCTTCGCTGCTTCACTCTCCTAAGCCCCCACCATGCACTCCTTACAGTCACCACCCTCCACCTTCTGCATTTCAAGCTCTTCAATCTCCATCCTGACTTTGTTTGAGATTCATGAGTGAACCACGTACATGCGCTGTCAATTCATGTACTGTACTTCGTGCATCAGGCCACCATAGCGAGACTCCCCCCGTAAAGATCCTCTCCATAGACAGTTCGACCTCGCCGAACGTGTAGAATAGATTCCAAGGTGGACTCTTGTTTCTTCAGGATCCTGCTCCATTCCTGCGCCAGACCCCGACTCCCCGACTGTTTTGCGCAATTAGACATTTCCCTCCCTGCCCATGTATCCACAACTTCTTCTCCGAAAGCGTTTCCTGCTTCACCCATACTGAGCTTCAAGCGTCATGCAAATCCGGAAATCGAAGTTCGAGTTTCTCGACAAGAGAGTCTAGTGGCGTTTTGGTTGCGGCATCCCACGAACCTCGATATATTCCACCTAGACAGCCCAAGTCAGTGACCGAATCTCATCTTCAAACGAGACGAGCCCCAACTCACCAGCATCTCATTAATCACTCTTTTGGACCAAGCTTTCCATTCCGGCCCTCCAAAGAATCCTTCAGGCAAGCCTGCACTCCGTGCTGCTGCTTGACGTACCTCGGCGAATCCAATCTTTCTGGGATTCCTGCCGAGTGATTCTGACACGGCATTACTGACATAAACCCTGAGGATATCCCGACTAGGTATTGAGCTGGGGTCAATTCTTGGATCCAAGGGAATAAACTCAGGAGCACCAGCGAAGACATCACCTACATCCCCGGCGAGGATGGCACTGGACACTGGACTCTGTGTTGAACTCTCCGACGAACCCTGGACAATTCCCGGTTGTGGCTCTTGAGTCGGTGCGTGCGCTGAACGAAGCTCATAGCGTTCTTGCGCATGTGTCAGACCTCTCCTCAAGTTTTGAGACTGAGACGGGACAGGTTGGCTCTTCATCACGCGTCCCGCCTTGACCGCGCGACGTTCTGCTTTGCTCAGCTGCTTGCCCGGCTGCTTGCCTGCATGTCTGCCGAACTGCTTGCCAGGCTGTGGGCCTAAACCCCCCATCTGTGCCGCAAACGGTCGGATGAGCTCCTGAGTCAGCATTTCCCCAATGCCACTATATTGCATCTCGTCGGAAGCTAAAATGCTCCTTCCACCATCCGCAGTCACGCGATTTCTGATGCGGGCTCTGATGAAAGCGTCTTTCAATGTGTGCACATTGCCATTGTACACATCAAACAGAGCCGCAGGACAGAATATCAGCGCTTCCCCGGTCTGCAGCCCAACTATCGTCTCAAACAAATGTGCATTGTTGTAACCCTTGTGGCGGCTGGCACCAGCAAGGTGGTCTCGGAGCATTTCAAACCACGCAGGTGAACTGAACCGATGAACAATACAGACATTGCAGAGATCAATAAGCCGGGGCGCGAGAGTCGGTTCCTGCGTCGATACAATGATGCGTGAGGCAAGGTGGCGCTGTTGACGAACAATGGATGTCAGCTCATCTGTGAGCTTTTCAGCTTCACCCGACCTCGTAAGGAACTGCAAAGGGCAAACATGGTTAGTAGACATGGAACAAAGGGGTAATTGCCTACCTTGTGAGCTTCATCGAGGGCAATGACACGACCACAATCTGCCCGACTCTCCATGAAAATCGAAAGGCAGATTGTGAATAGGGCACATGCGTCGTTCTCGTTGAGAAAAGGGCAACTCAAATCGACAACAGTGAGTGTCCCTGGAGCAGACATGAACATATCTCTCAATCGGGCAGCGGATTCCGCAGTCTGGACCTTGTGTGCAAGAAAAGATTCGAGCACTTCGAGACGCAGTCTGAGCGGTCCGTTTTGTGTGGAATTGAACCCCTTCCCCGACAATCGTGCTTTGAAATCAAGGTAATCAAAGCCTCCTGCGCCCTTTTTCTCTGTTGTCATATCACGGAGCACCTTGAAAAGGACTTCCATGTACAGTGGCACCTTGTCCTTGTCATCAACCGCCATCAACGTCATCAACCGCGTCACATTGAGTTGGTTCTCTTGAAAGTAGAGTGGGATGACATCTGGACGGGGAGCGTCTCTAGGCAGTCCAGGGAGGTTTTTGTAGAGCTTGTGCATTGCATGGACGTTGCTCGGGGAGACAAGAACTCGCACAGGAATTCCCGATGAGCACAGATAGGCGGCCTCACACAACTGTGTGCTCTCACTGCTTGTGAACTTGTCGTAATGAAATACAAGGCCAGCTAGAGGCCTCGGATTCTCTCCCGCCATGGATGAAGCTAACAGTGAGTTCTCCAGGAAGCAAGAGAGCGAGTGACTCTTCCCAGCACCTTGGGAACCGCATATGAAGGCAGACCATGGAGCATTCATGTTTGCGAAGATGAGATTATCCTCAGGTGACACAGTCTTGCTTGCCTCCGGCAAGGAGGAGTTGTATGTCTGTTCGCGCATGCCTAGGAGCCCGTATTGTGGGAAAGGAGTGTGGCTAGGGGCAACAACTCCCATGATGCCGCCCCTCAGAGTCTTCTGGACGTCATTGGAAAACAGCGGAGTTGTCTTAATTTCTTCTGCTTGAGCATGAAGGTGGCCGTCTGAGGCACTTTGCGGGAGACCTTGCATCAGCTGAAAATATCCACGGTTTCTTGCTGCACCCTCATCCTCCGCCGTCTGGAATGTTGTGTAGTGGAATGCAGGCTCGGGTTGAGTTGGAAAGCTTGTGTCCAATGGCTGTAACATGGCCTGCGATAAATCAGCGTCTGTCCACGCCCAGTTGGGTGTACGAAGGCGTACTCCGAAAACTGAAGCTGAGAAGGGATTGGGAAAGCGTCGCAGATTTGAGAGAGAGGCGCCGGAGGGGTGGTGGTCATCGCTATCTTCTGAAGAGGAAATGGACATGGCTTGTGACTCGTCAACTACAATGCCAATTTCTCCTTCTTCAACGGAAGATGGCATGCTGCCTTCGAGCGAAGTGTGCTGGAAGCAAGAGCGAGTTGACGCGGGACGGTTGGTCACTGCTGTCACGCGTAAGTCTGATGCCTTCGATCAACCTGAGAAATTCGAAAATGTACCCAACAGCACTTCGATAGGTGAGGAAGGCGTGGACGTGGCGGGCCAGACGGAATGTGAAGAGGATTCGACCAGGCTGGAGTCACGAGCTGTCGTAGTTGCCAGAAGTAATCTGAAAGTCCGGGTTAAAGGCTGCTGATAAGAGGCGGAGAGAGGCAGCTTGAGAGGGCTTTGAATCCAGTAAAACAAGAGGCAAGAGGACAACACTAGAAGTTAATCACAGGTCCAAGGGAGGACATTAAGGGCATAGGATTCACTGATAGACAGATAGATTTTGCCAAGTCTCGAGTCGCAATGGTGTCTGGCCTCCGGACACTTCGACGTGCTTCGTGATCCCGAACTTACCAGACCGGGTCTCTACTGACTTGGAAGCTGCCATATCGTCCTTTTCGACTCGTTCAAGTGCTTGCCTAACCAACCAACAAGTCACCTTATCTTGTCATCCTCCATGTACTCAGAATCTCTCCCTTGTGCTGGTAGGTTCACCACCGAGACCCCTCGAGGGCACAGTGCTGCTCATGTTCCCAACGCCTCCAGAATGCGCACCTGCGCCGGTAGTTGTGCCACCTGCGGCACTTCTTGTTCCTGCACCGTGGGTTCCCCCTGCTTGACGACAAGTTAACATACCCATCGAGGATACTGTGGGCGGAGGCTCGTACCAAGACGTTGATCGGCCCGCTGTATATCTGCCTCTCCCTTCTCCTTGACCGCTTTGTTTTTGATTTCTCCCTCGCGGTCGTTGAAGGCTGTATCGACCGACTCGTTGACTGTTCCACGAATAGTGTCTCCCAGGCCCTTGACCCCTTTCAAAACGGATTTGGCGTCCCCCACGGCCTGGTGGGTCTTGTCTTGTGTGCGGTCGGTCATAGTGTTATATGTAGGTGTCTCCAGATTACCGTGAGAGCGACTAGGCTGCGACAGAAATTAGTCTGTTAGAGACAAGTCAAAAATGCGAGGCAGAGCAAAGGCATAAATCAGCTGCGCCAATCTGCAGCATTTTGTGCAAAGTGGGCGAGTCCATGTGAACCATGACGACACCGAGTATCAATACCGGCCTAAGATATCCGTGACGCAACTCTGAATGCGCGAAAGTTGGTGAAGCTGTGTTGGGAGGCGTGGAGACTGAGGTGAGGATGATGAAAGAGCTTGGCACCTCTGTATCCCGTTCGCTACGAGGCTGTAACAGGCGTGGCGCCCTGAAGGCGTCATTCCGGGCTGCTGTGAAGACCTCGTTACTTTGGTATGAAATATCTATGTTCATTCCTGTTCTTGCTACCCAACTTGCTACTCCTTCCTGTCCACAGTCACCTGTAATTGTTGCCTAGCTTCAACAACTCCGACTAATCTAAAAGTATCAACAGTAATCGGTACGTAAGAGAAATAACTGCTTCCATCAGACGTCTATAACCCTGCCCCAGCATTCCCGACAAGCCCTTCATACAAACTCACTATCCTGGACTCGAGTTTTGTCATGGCCTCCCTTTTTGGCTTGCTCTAGCTCGCTATGCTCTTCAGTTGCACCTTGTACCATTTCTCCTGGTCCCCCAATACCATCATGCTCCCAAAATCTGTTCTTGTTGTCCTGTCCCGTCACTAACCCGACAAGGTCGAATGGATCAATCACTGTCAGGATAAATGGCCGATTGTCAACCATTCCCGGGCCCTCGATTTCTGTCTTTCCATCCATAGCGAGGTATACCTTGTGATTGTGCGGGAGGTACTTCAAAGGTGGGAAGAGATTCATGAGATAGGTATTGAAGAGCATTGGAATAACCTCCAGCACCCAAAAAATCCACTCCTTACCATTTGCAGTCGAATTTGGCGGATAGAAGAACGACGCGGTGCGAAAGGTGTTGCGGATGAGGATCAGGAAGCCTGAAGCGTAGAGCGAGTACACGACAACTTTGACCTTGCGCGTGAAGACATTTGCAGCGATACATCGTCTGTGGAAGACGATAATCAGATATAGAAAGGCGAGAAACCTGTAATTGGTGTTAGTCTTCATGCGTGTGCACTGATTTCGACTTGAGAGTGAGGTTCGCCGAGTGGATCTCCTCGGACGGCAGTGACTTACATGCCCAGCAAGAGGATCAATGACACTTTGACCAGAATGATACCCATTTTTACCTTTGAGTCACTGTTGTCGGTATTTGCCGCATAAGACGCTCCGTTAGCCGCAATTATCCCGTCGACAAGGTCCAATGCAACAAATGTGGTCCAGACACGGCCTGGGTGAAGAGGAGAGAGATAAGGTATATAGTACAACAGCCTGCCGAATATGAAGTAGTCCGCGCCGTTGTAGACTGGTGGAGCGATGAACTATTAATATGTTAGCCGACCTGAATACCAACTGACTTTGGAGCTGTATCCAGGCACGAAAGTGACTTCGGAGCGTAGGGAGACCCACCAACAAAACGGTACTGGCAATGAATATGCCGAGATCATTGGTATGATAGGCGCCATATTCTCGAGTGGCGAGGCCCGCGACGAACAGTGCTGCCGCCCATGGGAATAGAAAGCCAATTCGCCACGAACCTCTGTACTTGAGATTGTTCTGCCAGACGTGAAGAACTCCAGAGATGAAGAAGAGCACAGCAAAGGCAATAGAGACCCCTTTTACTGGCCGATATATCCAGTACGATATATCAGAGGAGTTCATGATCACAGGCTTTCTTGTTTCTCGATGATATTGAAGGATGGAGGGAGGAGATCAAAGGAGCTGTTGGTCCAAGGAAGAAAATGTGGACGTCTGCGCGTTTAAATGCTGGAAATTCGAGGGTCGGATGGATAATGAAGTCGACTAGCAGTGCACCATAGTTCGCCGTCACAGACGTCAGTAGATTCTGAAAGCGCCTACCACGCTAAGGGCTGTGCAAAGTCGAAACCCATGGACAGATATACCCCGTTCAAAAACGCCACGTATATACACGTGCCGGATACGCGAGGAGACAATCTCTCAGATATTTCAGCCACGACCCTGGAATGCAGCTCTACAGGGGAACTCATTCTTCCCAGAAATATCAGTAGAAACAATGTTGAATCACGAATAGAGATCTCAGTGACTTCACCAGAGACAAGGACGCCTCGTGGGTGCCTCGCATAGCTTGCAACCTGATTGATGGCAGAATGAGTGATCCTTTGACGCGAACCCGCACAATGGCCTCGAAATGTCTTAGCCCTTGGAACAGATCAAAGCAAATTGGAACGTCTAACCCTAGGTTAGAGTACCCGTGGTGAACGAACCTGTAGATGGCTCGTTCCCTGACATATTGGGCAGTTAGCTACTGAAGATCATGTTGAAACCCGAATACGAGCGGCACAAAGCACCCTTAAAGGCTAGAACCGCGAGTGGAACAAAATCAGCCTTGCCGTTCGCCTTGTTCACGATTGTGGCCACGTGATATATGGAGATGTCACGTGATAGCTTGACTTGGTGAACTGTATGACGTAGTGATTCTGCTAGTCGAGTCTCTCCGGACCTCGGTACGAAATCATGACTGGAACAACATCTTCAAACTGTTACGAACACTATATATCTGAGGAGGCCGTCAAGACTTTGGAGACGTCCTTCCAGTCAGGGATATATAGATGCTCATGCTTCAAATAGCATACCAGTAACCAGATGCCATCCTGTTTCGAGTGAAATCCGTGTAAATATGCAACTTTCTCGCCCATGAATGACACTGAGGATGGAGTTTGCGCTGCATTTCTCATACTCAAAGTCACCGACAACCTTCGGACCACGGGATAGATCTCAACATTAACCATTCTGCCATTCAACCCCTTGACAGTCTTTGACTCATTTGGCGGATAGAGCAGCATTACCTGTGAAGGCGAGTCTCATTTAACTTAAAATCGGCTTGGAAAAGGACCCTTTCTTGCCTAGCTGCTACCTCTTGTCGGCTGGTGTACTTTCGCAGGATCGCCAGTTAAGCTCTACCAAATTAAATTACAGCATCACACCAGCTGTGAAAATCTCATTCAAGTCGCCACCATGTCTCCAGAAAACCCAAATGGGACAACAGCACACGAGCAAGCCGAAACGGCCTATTTCCACAACAACCCTGCTCCCAAGTCTCTAACCAACCATGAGACCTTGGCTCGGGAGTTCATTCAATATCACCTGGAAAATGCGCCGAATCGTCGAATCGCCTTGGTCACTTCCGGGGGCACGACTGTTCCACTAGAGAATCAAACCGTGCGTTTCATTGACAATTTCTCTGCCGGGACTCGAGGAGCCACCTCGGCGGAATACTTTTTGCAGGAAGGCTATGCAGTCATCTTCTTGCACCGGCAATTCAGTCTTCTGCCCTACTCTAGGCACTACAGTCACAGTACTAACTGCTTCCTCGATTTCATGGAGGAATCCGGGGATGGGGAACGGGTAGTCGTCCGAACAGAATATCAAGAAAAGATGCGGCGAGTTTTGAGGCAGTATCAGCACGCCAAGCAGAATCGGTTGCTCTTGCTCCTTCCGTTTACCACTGTCACGGAATACATGTTCGAGCTTCGCAGCCTTGCTGTTATCATGCGCCCTCTTGGAAACCGGGCGCTTTTCTACTTGGCGGCTGCAGTTTCTGACTTCTTCATCCCGAGAGATCGGATGGAGGAGCATAAGATCCAGTCTCTTGAAGGTGGCGCCAGCCGCCAGTTGGTCATCAATCTGGACCCAGTGCCCAAGTTCCTCAGCAATTTGGTGCATAGCTGGGCTCCCAAGGGCAGTATGATAGTAAGCTTCAAGCTGGAAACCAACCCGGATCTCCTGGTGACCAAGGCCGAACAATCTTTGGAGCGCTATCAACATGACCTCGTGATTGGCAATCTACTCACCACCCGCAAATGGGAGGTCGTCTTTATTACTCGCGGTGGTGGGGAGAAATGGATTCGAGTTCCAAAGACGAGGCGCTCCAAAAGTTTTTCTGGAGTGGAGGCTCTGGTAGGCAAGGCAGAGCGAAAACATGGCCCAGAACCCCACGATTTGGACGGAGGTACCGTGACAGAGGGTATGGAGATCGAGAGTTTGATCATTCCTGAGTTGGCCGCGATACATTCGAAGATGATAGAGCAGACTTCGTAAGACCCCAGACACAAGCCAGGATGAGCTCGATGTAGCCAGCCTTATTCGGCAAAGTGAGATCAAGGTGGTGGAAGCTGGATACGAACATTGGCAGGGTTTCAGCAACTGTTATGCGGGATGTATGCATTCAAACTTCTCATTGCTTTGCGGAGAATATAGGACCAATCGAGGTGTAGCTAAATCAATCAACATCCACCTGCATGAGATCCACCTGCATAATTTTTGGAACTCCTCACACTGGTCTCTTTCTGCCGACCACATCTCGGATTATCTGATAGCGGTTATCTGGGACTGGCGGGTCTTCGAATGGGGGAATATAGGCCTCTCGCTTGACGGTGTGCGGGTCGTGGTGTTCAGCTGTTCCAAACTATAGCTAGAGAACCTAGTCTAGCAAGTGTCAGGGGTACGAGGAGGTGATTGCGGCTATTCTACAACTTCAGATAAGAGCGAGGGGCATGAGGCGGTGAACACCAGGGCGTACGTCTTCGGTTGATGGACCGAGACAACCAAGATGGTGTGCACTTCAGCGGTCGCGGAGGAATTGTATGGCTGGAAAGCTGCCAAAGTTGGAGCAAGACTGTGAGGGATTGGGATGAGATGGCAGGATGGGTCGGTTGGGAAACCCCAGTTTTCGGGAGCGGAGAGCTTATCTGCCGATCTTTAAGCCATTCGATACGCGAGCCAGTCTGTGACGTGTGCGTCAATCACCTCTAGGTCGGTGGTCGACAAGGCCTCACTCCCAGGTCGAAAGCGAGGCGATGCGGCAACTGGACGAACTCAGTGCTCAGCTCATGCACCAGAAGCATCTGCTGGCGAGGTTGGGGTTGCTGGGGCCGGAAACTGGCCAAGTCAAACCCCGAAGCTCGCGATCTCGAACCCTCCTCGGTGGCTCCTCTCTTGCGCCCGATGATCGATCCACCTCTTTCGACCTTCGATCACCCGCACTATATTTGATCGACTCTCTTAAGCCAGATCTTACCATCGATGTCGAGCGCCCAGATGCCTGGATGCCTACCAGAAATCACCGTATTTTGAATGCTGGGATTATGTTGGCAGTACTACCTTCTGTCGACCTATTGGGTTTGGCCATCAAGAGCGCCGTTTTCCAGTATAAATACCAGTACCCAAAAATCACCTCTGCACCCATGCACCTATGCTAGAGTTCAAACCTGCATCGAGGGCTCTCCAATCGCCCAACAAATGACGTGTTTCGGCGCCCCCCTTCAATGGTTCGGAGAAAGCGAAGCCTAAAGTCAAACGGGCGCCAAATGAGGAGTATCTCCAGCTTCAAGCCAATATGCGGCACACCTCTCCCATTTCTGTATGTTGTACATCAAGAGCAGGAAAAGAGAGATATTACACAAAGCGGAAACTGGGCAGCAGAGTGAAGAGCAAAAATGTAGCTTTACTCGGGCGCCGTTTGTGACACCTACATAGGTTGGCATTTGAAAATGACTGACCTGGTCTGTGCTTCGCCCACAGTGTCGCAGACAGGTTGGCGCTTGACGTCGGTGGTTTCTACCCTCGTACCGCCTTTGCATTTGTATCCACTTTTGGCGATGGGAAGAAAAGACTGTTGCAAGCAGATCCGAGTTGACAGAATTCCCTAACCGCATCGAATTCCCTTTCCCAAACTTTCGAGAGCCAGACTTCCTCACACCCGTAGGCTCCTCTCCTCCCCTCTTCACCACAGCTCCTCATGTTTTTCTCCTCTCGGTGTCTACTTCGCTCCGACCAGTCGCGGAGCTCAGGCTTCATTGATTGAACGGGGCCCTTCACTTGGCTGTCGGGAACGCGATCTTTCAAATAGAATCGGACCCAGTGCCGCGGTTGCACCCTCTGCCTCACTCTCCAATGACATAGTCTCATAAACGAACTTCGCTCAGTCGTTAATCGGCAAGACCTTTTACCCGCTGGGGACATCTGCGCTTCTCATTGAAACCAATTTTTCCTTTCTTCAATTTGCTGGATACCTAGGTATCACCTCGATAAAAACGCCCCTTCCCTACCTGCTCATCTTGAAACCGCCGCACGTCCATGTCTGTTCTCCTTGGCCCTTGACGTGGTACCAAATTTGACTGACAACGGGATTCCAGACCAGGTCATCGCTACGCACCCCCACTCCTTCTCCAGTTAGGCTGCAGGTTCTCGATTTTCAACGGGCTGGCAGGGCTTGAATACCTTCTAGTGCAGTTTCATGCGCTGCTACAAGCCATCGCCAAACTCCTTGCACGACGAGAGACGTTTTCTGGTGCAACAGACCCATCCAATACACAATGAGATAACCTCTGCGACCTCTTTCTCGGCCTTTGGATCCAGTCCATCATGACGGCTGCTGATCATCCTTTGTCTCTAGTCGGAGAGTCCTCCATGCCTCCCGGCAGCCCAACTTGGATACCAGATCGCTCCGACATGCAGCAATGGTCGACTTCGAAGACGCCGTTCGATCATGCTCTCTATAATGCGGCTGTTCTTCACCTGCCTCCCACCTCTTCTGAAGATGAACTTGATGATCAGGTCGCGTCCGAGGTACATAATTTGGGCATATCACCGTTGCGGATTACCTCGGACATCGGAAAGGTCGCTTCTTCAGTCTCGACTATTACCATCGCTTCGGGCTCCTTGAAGCAGAGCTCCATCCAATCCCAGTCCACTGCAGCGACGTCCTGTGCCTCTAGTGAGCATCGGCCAACAACACAATCGTCCCGGACCTCTGACTACACCCCTCCGAAAGCGGGCGGCCTCTCACCTACCTTGACGAGTGAAAGAAAGAAATACTCACCACTAAAACGAGGGTTCCAAAAAATGGCAAGTTTTCGAAAGAGACGGTCGGCGGGTTTGACTGCGTCTTCAACCCTTACAAGTATTAACAGTGACGCCGACACCAACGGTAGCGAAGACCAGTCCGTCAACATGCGAAGTCCCATGTCGGTCAAATCGAGTCAGAGCTTGTGGTCGCAACCATTATTCATGGCACAATCAAGTTGTGAACCGCCAACGTTGGAGGATACAGAAGCGTTGGAGAGAAGCATGGGGTGCAAGGAACTACTCAACCTTCGAATGACTCAATTGGATGAAAAGGGTCGGTTTCTAGAGTTTCAGGCTTCATTGATGGCGCACTTGCGATCTGAACGCGATTTGCTCAGGGCACAGAAAAAGACTTCGCATGCAAATGCCATTGCTGAACAAAGAGCAAAGGTTCGTTTGGGACTTGAGACTTTGTTGACGTTGTTGCTGATGCGTGACAGATTGAGCGGGCAGTAGAAGACCTAGAAGCGCGACAACTTGAGGAAGAAATGAAAATGGAAAAGGACCATGAACTCGAAAAGAGAGCTATTATGTTGCGCTTACGGCATATGGAAGCTTATTGTCAGAATCCCACTCCACCTGAGACTCCTGTGGATCCAGTCTCCAGACATGCTTCTATCGATTCGATCTTTCCGGAGCGCAAAGTTACAGATAAAGACTATCACAATCTCGCCCAACAGTACCGTGAACGAGACATCATGGACACCCTGCACACTTCCAAAATCAATGTTTTGCGTGGCAAGCAGAAGAGAGCTGTGGAGAATCTCATACGGAAAAAGGAAAAGGAGATGGAAGTTCTGGAAAGAGATCAGAAAAAGGAACTGGCTGTCATTGACCGCGACTTTGCCAGCCAGGAGGCCGATTTGAGGATGGTCCTGGACAAGAAGAGAGCGAGGCTTGAATCAAGGTGGCGAACCCAGGCCTTGATTGAGCGCACGAAAATGGAGAAAAAGAGCGGCCTGCCATACGCCCCATTACCCGATGTTGTCGCCATCAAAGACATTGACTGCTGCTGAGGACAAGAGGATGCGATTCGGCCGAATATCAACACATGGCTGCCAGCTTCACATCATCGCTACTATCATTATGATCTTTCTGCGCGCCCCTTTTCAATCTGTGGTTCACGGTCTCCAAATCATGTGTACATGTTCTCGACGGAGCTACTTTCTTTCTTGCCACGGGTGTTAATCAGGACAGTCCCGGGTCAGGTCTTGTGGCAGGCAACATGTCTCGGTATGATACATCACATCCTGAGAGTTTGCATGCCTGAACTAGGTCTTTGTTCTATGACGATGGATGCCACATAAACTAGCGGAATTATGACGAGCTACAGACGATGTTGACCATGAGGTCTTATGAGATCAATGATGGACTGCGATGATATGCTATGAAGTAGCTGAGCTACATTGCCTTGTGATCATAGAAAGGAGGAAACTTGTATGATCTTCAGAAACAACCATGTAATGCAATAGGGGCATCCAAGGTTGAGGATACTCCCTTGACACAAGGACAGAACATGAATTTGATCACTTCACATGGATGGTTTCAACGCCCCTCTGACATGCGCCAACTCCCATGAAAAAGAGGGCGCCAGATTCTGACCAAGTGAAACCCTCTTCCATTCTGGCTGGCTTGTCATTTTTCAACTACCACCTACTTCCCGGGAGGAGCAATTGATTGATTTTTGGAGATCTTGTGTATTTGGCCTTTTTCTCAGCCGGTGTTCCCAGGGACAGGGTTGTGATCTCACGCGGCGCAGGAGTCGACGTCGAGGTGTCATTGAATCCTCTGAGTTTCTCGTCTGTGAACCACCCCGCGTTGGCGGACCACTTCACGCCTGCTAACAAACTGTCGTCCAGCCCTTCCGGTGCAGGAAATGGACGTTTGAAATTCCTGCATTCCAATTGCATGTTTTGATTCACTGCGGCCAGGTTCTGAGCCGAGGAAAGTCCTCTGGTTGTTGACTGATCCTTTAGGCTGGGCACGTCCGAATGCATTAGGGATTGTTCGACTTTTGCATTGGGTCCTCTGTCTGGCCTGATCGTCCCTAGATGACGTAAAGCATGTTGGGACAGGCCATCCTTCTTCTCCCTCCTCTCGTTCCTGAGTGTTCGTATGTCAACACTGGATTGAACCAAGAAGCTCGAGCTGTTGCCGCTTGTGATCTCTGAAGTGTCGTGAGAACAATCCGAATGGTGTCCTTTTGCTGTCCCAGACCAGCTGGTCCCTGATTCTGTACCACCGTCTGCATCCGTCGAACGCGGCAGAGAAAAGAGAGCGATTTGTCTCAGATGGGATGCTACATGATCTTGTAGAGCAGCGGCATCTGGGATGTGGGCCAAACAGATGGGACAAGGCCGATCGGCAACCTCAGACACAGATTCTGCCGCTCGCCGAAGTTCAGTGGACTCCAGTTCTGTGCGATTCGACGCATGGGCCTCTCTAATGTGGTGCTTGTAGGCGGTGACTGTCAGGAAGGTGGCCTTGGGGTGTTCTAGACATCGCCAGATTCGCCGGTGACACGAATCCTCATGCGCAATCCATTCTTGTGTCGTAGCAAAGAGACAAATGGCTTCTGAGCAGTCTGGATACGTACAGACATACGGACAGAGATCTCGCAACAAATGGGACCTTGAAGAAAATGTTAACTGATACATTGGAATTGCCTAAGGGAGGGGCAACGTACCTCCAGGCCTCCAGTTTCAGATATGCTCCAGAGCACAATGTCGGACAATATGGGCATTTGAAATGGCGGTGACCCTTGAGCTTTGCAGGTGGGTTTGGGAATACCAAAACCTCTCCTCTAGTGACGGAGACGCCTCGGGTCGACCCAGCATAGTCCGAGATCCTGGATACCGATGTGGCGTATTCAAGATCAACTTGGGCTGAATTCAAAGTCGTGGCAGTAGTCAGCGGAGAAGGATCTACGGATTCAGCGACGTAGATCGAGCGTGCAATGGTGGTAACATCTTGTGAGGCTTTTTGTGGGCGCGGTTGTTGTATTTGTGTAACTCGTGCCATCGCTTCAGGCGCCACGTCAAGCTGCTGTGGGTGTTGGCTCCAGTATGCGAACTGTTTTGGTCGAATAGTAGTCGCCTGTGCAAGTCGCAGAGCAAGGAACCCCAGTGGTTCTCCTCGAGCCGAATCCAGAACCTGTGGTGGTATTCCTTGCTCTTTAGAGACACTCCTATGAACGACAGATCGATAATTTTGAAACACCTCGAGCAAGTGTTGTTCGTCAAGCAAGGCATACCGTCTAGTCATATCAACATCGCTGTTGCCCGATCTCAATGCAACCCCTAGGGCTTTTTCGGTCGGAGTCCTCGTTATAGGACTTGTGACCCGCGCAGCGATCCTGTAGAGAGCATCGATTGTCTCCACTATGCTCTCCAGGATCAGGCTGAAGAAGTTTTGCCCATCGAGGCCGCCACTTTCTGAACCATAATCATCCTCCAGTATAGTCTGGTGAGCAGCGTCGACAGCATCATCCGAGTAGGAATCCTGACCAGACATATCGACGTCGTTCATTTGGCTCAATTCGCCGTGTAGCATGAACTCCTTACCTGTTGTTCAATTCAGTAAGACTCGGCTCGACATCAAGGAAGGAAGTCTCACATTCGAGCAATGACCCATTCAAGTCGTTCAAGAAGGCTTTAATAGTGTTGCGCAGCAGTTCAGCGTGCCGAAGACGATAACCCAAAGAATCGTGTCCAAGATGCGTAGCTCCGAGGTTGGATGCCCATAGCACAAGTCTCTCATGTTGATGCTCAATGCTGGATGCTCAATGCTGGGGTCTGCCGCAGGATTCTGGGCGACGCCATGATCAGTCGCCGGGATGGTAAGATCTGCAAGTGGTTGTAGAGCATCCGTATAGAGCGCCGCTAAAGACACTGCACTGGTCTCGCTATGCCCAGGGATGAAGTCCGGCGTGTGTGGCATTCTGACGGATTCTGTCAAGGCTCCCAGGAGGCCACCGATAGATATAGCGATATAGGCTGCAATCCAGCAGATAGATGAGTTCGACGTGCCTTCGCTGCGAGATTTTCTCTCGGTTCAAGGGGGGTCTTCTAGGAGGATCCCGTTGAGGGACCGAATGCTTTTGGCCCTGACGCTTGCCATTTCCCTACTGCAGCTGCACGACACGCCGTGGCTCCACGAGAGCTGGTCAAAGGAAGGAATCCAGTTTATGAAGACACCAGGTGCAAAGGGAGAAGGCGTGTCAGCGCTGGACGTTGATTTCACCAAACCACTGATCTCCCGCGAGTTTTTTTCCCCTTCGCACGATTCAGCAAAACACCTGCGGCCTAAGGAGGCCCTCCTCGAGCTTGGGATCATGCTTCTCGAACTCTGGCACGAGAAGACAATTGAGGACTAATTCCCCGGGAGCGCCATTCCAGCTTACTATTGGGGCAAACTTCGATTGGCGTTAATCTGGCTGGAAGACGGGGCGAACCCTTTGCTTCTACATTATCGGCTTGCCGTGGCACAGTGCGTCAAGTGCTTCTTCGGCGGCGGGTTCAGTACCCCTAGCTGGGATGACTTGGAGTTTCGAAAGGCATTGGTTAGAGATATGATTGAGCCGTTGCATGAAATTTGTAGGGCTTGGACATGACAGCAGTGGTTTGCGTGCACCCAGCGTGTATATACCACCTTTGTTGACTTACATCATCTATCGTAATCATCATCGTATGTGCCAAAAGGTCGTTTGCACTGCACCTTCATATTCTGCTTTCATCCTGAGTGAGGTGAGTACGGCGACGAGTGCAAAAGGTTCAAGGCGAGCGAGTTCAGGGTTAAAGCAGCAAGTCACGTCTCGTAGCAGCACGTGAACTGCGGGCAAATGGGATATTTTATCCTGCGCCCGCAACAAAGGCATCTAGGCACCCAGATTCGCCTCTTCTTCGTTCGTTGAACTGGCCACCCTGTCTCTTTGAGATGCCCTTTTTTACCTGCGGGAATGCAATACGCCTATACGCGATAGAAATGAGCTTGCTCTTCTTCAGTCTCTGGTGTCTTACATTTGTCCATGGTTTGTCGAGGGCAATAACTTAAAGCCGAAGCGTTACCAGACAAAATATGGCAACCGTAACAAGGATCAAACTACTTCTCCTCTTAACCTTTCTCCTAGCAGGCACAGCTCTCTCAGCTCGCAAGACAAACCCTAAGAAGGTCCCCAAAAATGCTGTCTTACTTTCCAAGGTTTCTGCCATCACCGTCCGCGCCGGCAAACAAACCACCTCCCGTCGAGTCTCTCCCGTGCCTCAGCTACAATGCGTGGGAAACCCCAGAATATGCAAGCTATACTCGATTGATGTCATGAGGTGCACCAACGAGGGTTCTGACTATGATGAAAACAACGTGCAGTGGAGCTGTAAAGCTTCCCTTCCCGAGGAATTCAAGCTGGGCAGCACAGAAGTGACGTGCGAGGGCTACGAGAGCAGCGAAGATCCATATGTTCTTTCGGGAAGTTGCGGTGTCGAGTACGCACTTGTGTTGACCGAGAAGGGAGAGGAAAAGTATGGTTCTGGCAGCTTCTTTGACTTTCGTGGCGCACAGCGCAGTGAGAATACGGCAGAGAAATACGCTGGCTACTTGTTCATGGGATTGTTCGGGGTGGTTCTGTTCATCATCTTGCGCGGTCTCTACAATGCCTGGCGTAGTGATACACCTAGAAGGAGACCACGAGGAGGCGGAGGGTTTGGGGGAGGTGGAGGCGACAATGATCCTCCACCTCCATACGACCCCCGGCCACCTCCCCGACCCAAAAAGGCCACTTGGTCATCGGGCTCAAGTTCAAGCGCAGGAACTACCGGGCCCGGATATCAGGAACAAGGCTGGCGCCCGGGATTTTGGACAGGTACGGCTGCTGGAGCTGCCGCAGGGTATTTGGCTGGGAGGGGTGCGCGGACACAACCCGCGCCACAAGCCCCGGCGACTGGGGGATGGTTTGGGGGTGGAGGAGGCGGCGGCTTTGGTGCATCGACCAGACCAGGGCCGTCTTCAAGGAATGCAAGTTCACCGAGCTCGAGCTATTCGAGCACGAGACACGAAAGCACTGGGTTTGGAGGGACAAGCCGTCGATAAGAGATCCAAGGTTGAGGGAGACTTGACATACCCAAGGACGTCTGGTTGGGGCTTGTGGCTTCTGCATCTCACATAAAACAACTTGGATCCGCTACATACCCGTCACTCCCTTGATATTCTGGTTTTAGTCTCCTGGAATTCGGGGGATTCGAGGTGGGAATAGTATTGCTGACGCGTCTCGAACACGTGGGCACGTGATGGTCCAGCGGTTTGTCATGTTGCACAACTTCACCTCAGCATGCGCCATATTATGTCCGGTGGCTGATCCTAATTGTAACTCATCTTGAAGCCTCGCATTTCCTCTGTATGGCTTTCGCACTGGCTTGCACAGGTAACATGAACCTCCGTGCTTGTTGATGGATCTTGTTGGTATAGACAAAGGCTGAAGAGCAGCCACCCGACAACCACGGCATCTCGCAGCCTTGCCCACATCCCACCCGCCTCGCACCCTCTTGGATATTGCATCAGACGTGACTCCCAGTACAGCTTACCAGGACATACATTCTCAGGCTTTGATTTTCATCTGACTATAGTCCTGATGTGAGCCTACCAGTGTTCCCCAGTTCAATCGTGAGAGACCAGGACCTGGAAGGGCTGTTTTGCCCCAACATCGAAACCGCCGTAGCCATCCTCTATCAGCATTAAATGTCAATAATGCCCCGATCCTGCCAAGCCAGTGGGCAAGTGTCGGCTTGACCTCTTTATGTTGGATACCTGCGCCAAGGGCATCGCGGTCAAAATCACCACTAAACCCATCTATTGGTCTGGCAGACCCTTTGTCATTGCGTCTTCGCGACAACATCTCCTGATTGTACAACAACGGGAATCTACTTCATCTTTGTTGGTATACAATCGCCTACGCCACTGGTCTTCCTGAACAACTTTCTTTGTCGACATTCAACATATAATATTTCAAGGATCATTTGACGCCGCACTCTACCGGAGACCGACTTCGTTAAGATCATATCCAGACACTAAACCGGTTGCTTCACTTCACGCTGACGTTCACCTCACCCTAATCACCAAACTTTTTGGAGGTAGTCTTGTCATTCACTTCCAATAGGGCATGTTCTGAGTCTCTTCGACATAGCCAGGCTCACCCACCGGACTCTCTAGGCTCATCACATCTTGGATCGCGCACGTCAATCGTTGTACCTGCTCAAATTGAGAAGAAGTCAGTCCGCGACCGCCTACGACAGTACACCTGCGCCTCCGTGAGACAAATCACGAGAATGGCGCCTCAAATCATCGACCTTCTCTCTGATGACGATGAGGATTTCGATCCATCTTCCCGGCCAACTGCAAAGAGACGCGTTAGACATCCTAGGCTGAGCCACAGTAACGAACCTGGCAGAGGCACCAGACAAGATTTCACGTCTGAAAACCCACAAACCCCGCGCGAGACGATTGATCTGAACACCCTGCCTCGAAACACGGTAGAGAATGAGTATCTCGTTCGTATCAATGCATCAAGAAGTTCCACTGTCAGCAGCCACACCGAACGTGGCAGTCCCACTGAGCCATTGAATTCTATCGCACGAAGAGACAACGACAGGGGAAAACAACGCCAGATCGAGATCTCAGAGATCGACTTGTCTCAAGACGGCGACGATCTTGGTGAAAAGAACCTCTCCAGCCATGATGAGGAGGATGCGTCTCTTGGCTATGATAATGGCGATCTTAGTGAGGATGAGGCGCTGCGGCAAGCGATTGCCTTGTCGCTTCAGGAACAGACACCTCGTCGCCACGCAAACAATGAAGCTGGCGCAAGCGCAAACTTATCTTCAACCACGGTGAGTAAGGCACAAGGGAAACAGAGGTCAAACGCCCGGCCTCTCAAAGAGACTGCTCCTGCACGACCTGCAGATGAAGTCGTGGTAGATGCAGCACCGGACAATGGAGTCATTTCTCTTTCACCCACGCCCTCTCACCGTACCCCTCCATCCTCGCATGCGATGACAAAAGTGCCTCTACCTTCACTGGGATCGACACGGGCACCACCACCAGCCTCTGCAGACCAGTCCCTTCCCAATGTAGCCCAGGATGGACCTGAATTGTCTCTAGACAAGAGAGCTCCAGACCTCCAGGTATCAAACCAAGACCCCAGTGCCAGCCACGGCGTGTTCAGCCTGGCGAGCCTCGACCGCCGACAAATGGAGGCTGAGCGCCTGGCACGTCGGAAGCGCAAGCTCGAAGACGAAGGATCGCACGATGCTAGGTCTCAAGAAAGCGAGGGCCGCAATGCCAAAGCACTCAAGCGCAGCCAACCTGTGTCGGTGATGGCAACGGACCCTAGAGTTCCAACTGGGACTGGAATTGCAAAGACGCAGCCAACACAGTCAAATGAGCAGCACCCAGGCCACGGCGTACGAAAGGACAGCAACGGCTCGAGACACCACATACAATTGCCAGAGAGAAACATTCGAGAAACAGCACAAGCAGCGAGCAGCTTCCAGACTGGACAGCGGACAGGAGCTGCCAAACCAGCGTCACAAAGTTCGAAAGCTAGAATTCCAGACAACAAGAATGGCAAGGGCAATAATAGCCATGTTGTAGCAGCTCCAACTGACACTGCAGCACCGAATCCAATACGCACCAATCCCCCATGCATTGAGATTGATGATGATGATGATGGTGATGATGACGGCGAAGGCTACAGCAATAACACCTTTGGTACCAGTATCAACAACAGCACCGCGAACCTCTACCCCGACGGCATCGCCCTCAAGACATACGTTACAGGCTACCCGTCCGACAGAACCATCACGTTTGAGCGAGTTGTGTCCCCCTCGTCGCAGCTGGAGTCGTGCCTCCTGTCCTCCTTCATTTGGGACTTTGACTGGCTGCTGCCGCACTTTGAGACACGACGCACCAAATTTCAGCTGGTCATGCACGCCAAAGACGCGCAGAGGCGGCAGGCGGTGGAGAGAGATTTTCAGGGGGTGCCGAACGTGAGGTTGACGTTCCCGCGCGTGGGTGGCAATATCAGCTGTATGCACAGCAAGCTGATGCTCTTGTTTTACAAGGACGAGGGAGGGGAGATGAAGACGGGCGCGGGTGCAGTTGCAGCCGCAGAAGCATCGACGATGGGCCAAAATGGGTTGTTTGGTGCTGGTGGTGGTGGTTGGCAGCAGGGCAGCCGGAGATGTCGCATCGTGGTTCCTACGGCTAACCTCGTCGACTTTGACTGGGGCGTCGGCGGCTTCATGGAGAACACAGTATGGCTGATCGACTTACCTGTCAAACAAGCCTCTGACGCAACGACCTCGTCATCCTCATATGGTGCGACATCAACCGCAACGCCACCCGTGGGAGACAGCTACCAGACCTTTTTTGAAAAGTCCCTCAAGGAGTTTCTGAGAGCGCAAACCGTGCCCGACGACGTGCTGCACAAGCTGGACTTGTTCGACTTCCGCAAGACCGAACGCTACGGCTTCGTCCACTCGATTGGCGGCACCCATGTCGGGCAGGCATGGCAGACCACCGGGGTCTGCGGGCTCGGTCGAACCATCACGGATCTTGGATTGGCCGCGGGCGCCGATGGTGGTGGTGCTGGTCGCAGCGGACCCGTTCAGATGGACTACGTGTCTTCATCAATCGGCAATCTAAACGACGAGTTCTTGCAGTCCATGTACCTCGCCGCCTCAGGCGACAATGGCCTGAGGGCGGTGGATCGAAGGGGCCCGCTCAAACAACAGGGAAGCTGGAAGAAAAACCTTCGCTTCTACTACCCGAGCGACAACACGGTCCGGACGTCGAAAGGAGGCCCCGACAGCGCGGGAACAGTCTGCTTCTCGTCGGCATGGTGGAACAGTCCCCAATTCCCCCGATCAAGCATGTACGAATGTGTCAGTGTTCGCGAGGGTCTCCTCATGCACAACAAGGTACGTTTTATCCCCTGGACGTGATGTGATGATCTGCATCGTCTTAATGATATCCATGTTATATCATCGTTGCCAACAACAACACTTTCCCAAAGAAATCAAATCTTGGGGAAAAAAGGACATCGATTCCACCGTCCACCCCTCCTCTCCCCCCACTTTCTTTATGACAAAACCCCCACTAACTCTTTAACCATGCCGACTTTTGTAGCTACTGTTTGTCAGATACGCTTCACCGGCCGAAAAGTCTCGTGAGTCAGGGAAAAACATCGGCTGGGTTTATGTGGGTAGTGCGAATCTCTCTGAAAGTGCTTGGTAAGTACAGTGGGTGGCCCCAGTTTGTTCTTTCTTGTCTACCTTGCTTGCTTGGCCTGGTGGTCCCCTCCATCTACCCTCCGTCTCGTATACTCCGTTCTTTCCGATCTGTGAACTCTGGGTACTGCTAGTACGACTACTCGGTCCTTGAGAGGTTCCGTCAGGTACCTAATAGACAAGGATGAGAGAAGACAGAAAAAAGAGATGACAAGGGAACGGGTCCGATTGCTCGAGGTCGGCTATTAGTGGACATCGGCGATCCTTGGGAACTTTTTCCCCTTTCCCTTTTCCCTTTTCTCTTTCGCAGGCTGACACGCATCCTCTTTTGTTTTGACAGGGGTCGACTTGTTCAGGACCGGTCCACCAAGACGCCTAGGCTCAATTGTAGGAACTGGGAATGCGGCGTCATTATTCCAGTACCTGCAACAACCAGACGTGGCTCAAGTGTCTTCTCCATCATCGACAAAGACACTGCGGGGCTCGCGGCGTTCAATCACACTGTTCCCGTGCCCGTGAGACTTCCCAGCGAATGTCTCGAGAAAAAGAAACCGTGGACAGAATGAGGCATAGGGATTTTTGGCTCCCAAAATGATGAGACCGTACCACAAACGCAGAGGTAGGGGGAGCCACATGGGATGTGTGAACAGCAAAGTCTAAGAGCTTATTTCCAGGGTGACTACTACTGATTAGGAATTTGGATCGGATTTCGAGCCTCAATGGATGCTGGATTGAGTTACTGTTGATTTCGAGCCCCTCAAAGTTTTCGAACGGGAGGACCATGTGAGAAGAGCTGCTTGTGGAATA